GGGACACCAATCCCATCCTGGGCACACCAATCCTGCCATGGGGATACCAATCCTGCCCTGGGCACACCAATCCCATCCCAGGCACACCAATCCCACTCTGGGGACACTACTCCCATCCCGAGAACATCAATCCCGCTCTGGGGAACACCAGTCCTGCTCTGGGCACACCAATCTCACCCCAGGGACACCAATCCCACTCTGGGCACACCAATCCCACTCTGGGGACACCAATGCCGTTCTGGGCACACCAGTCCTGCCCAAGCACACCAATCTTGCCCTGGGGACACCCATCCCACCCTGGGGACACCAATCCCATCCTGGGCTCATCAATCCTGTCCTGGGGACACCAATCCCACTCTGGGGACACCAATCCCACCTGGGCACATCAATTCCCCACTGGGGACATCAATTCCACACCCCACCCCCCCCAGGCACATCAAACCCTCCTGGGCACTCATTAATTCCCTTTTTCCAGGGGTGTTTTCTGTCTTCCCCCTGACCCCCATCACCCTCCCCCACCCCGATTCATTCCCAGTGAAACATTAACTGGGATTTCCTCTCACCAGTGAGGCCAGTAAACTCTCAGCCTTACTGGGAAAGCTGCTTGTAGTTAGGATTTGGGAATCTGTGATTCCTGGGTGATTTTCTGGAATATCCGCCCYTCCCATCACCCTCTCACATCCTGATTATTTTAAATTTCCTCCGAATTTCTGGGCAGGGAGTGTAGAACAGCTCTGCTGGGAGCTCAGCAGGGACGAGGAGCTGYGTTTTCATTTAAAGGGTGCTGTGGAAAGGACATGGGTGCCCCTGGGCTGGAGATTGCCATTTCATAGTCCAGGCACTCACACTTCCCAGGCACTAGATTTCTCCATTGRTAAATTAATCTGCAGTTCCTTAAATCAGCCCCTGACAGCACTGAGKTGACTGCACATGTGAATGTATTCAATATATTAAATTAAAGATATTCAATTAAATTAAAWCTATTAAATGCATTCCCCCAGCCCTTCAAGGGCTGCCCAGTTCGTTGTTATTGCAGCTCCAGCAGCCTCGGCTCCTGCCAAGCCTTCTCTGGAAAGAGCTGAGCCGGGTAAAGCCAGTGGAAAACTCTGGCAGAATTCCCTGCTGGGAGAGCAGGGCGCAGGGATGGACAGATTCCCAAAATATCCCGAGGGCTGGACCCTTCCTCGGCAGCCTGGAGGAGGGGAAGGGGTTGAGCATCYCTGGGCRTGGTCCCTCTGCTCCTGGGGATGTCCCAAAGGGGTGAGGACAGGGTTATCCTGGGGGATTTTCTGCCTGGACATTGTGGGATTTGTGTCCAGGAACAGAAAATGTCCCCGTGCTCCAGCCAGGAGGTGAAACCCCAAGCAAAAAAGGGCTCTGGAACTCACCAGGGAAAAGGGAAAAAAAAAATCTAGGAATGGTTGGAAGCAAAGGACTGGTGACTTCCAGTGACATGTTAACTGGGATTTCCTTTCACCAGCACAGCCAGTGAGGTCTCAACCTCGCTGGGAAAGCTGCTCATTGTTCAGATTTGGAAACCTGCAGATCCTGGATTATTTTCTGGAATTTCAGCTTTTGGGTGATGCAGGGGACAGGTCTGAYCCAGGAGGGGGCAGGTATTTTATAGCCTGGGTGGATTCAGGCAGGCTGGACATGCAAATTCACTCCTTTAAA